TCTCAACATTGTGAGTAGCCGACTCCCGTGTGGTTTAACAGATAGCTTCATGGAAGGTTTCAGTTGATATCTCAGTACATAATATAACATTGTCACTTTATATCTCAGTACCGCTTGTTGTAATCTCATTACATTTAACATTGTCAATTTATATCTCAATACCGCCGGTTGTAATCCCATTACATATAACTTTGTCACTTTATATCTCTGTACAGTAGTCTCCGTATAAGATCCCACATCTTATGGCCCCGGTTCTCCTAAGATCCCGCTGTTTTGGAAAAACAGAATTTTTACTACATGTATAACATTGTCACTTTATATCTCGGGACTGACTGTTGTTCTCTCAGCTGCCATCATTTAATTTATTCACGCAATAGTGTCAGTTTTACTGCAATATTTTCAGTTGATATCGCACATTGTGAGTGATATTCCAATATGTTCAGCTGATAGCTCACTGTCGCGTGGCCTCATTATGCTCTGTGAGTTGATACAAGTATTTCAATATAGTCAGCTTATATAACAACACTTAATGTGAGTAGATAGCTCAAGATATGTGAGTTAATATTTCAACATAATAAGTATCTCAATATCGTGTGTTGATATCTCAATACTGACAGTTGACGCATCAAAATCATGAATTGACATCTTAATTTTGTTGGTTGTTATCTTAATTTTGTTAACTGACACCAATATTGAAATTGATATCTCAATATCGTGCCCTAATATCTTAATACTGCGAGTTCCCAGCCTAAAGTTGTTAGCAGATGTCTAGACATTGTTAGTAAACAGAATGTCGATGTATTCATCCTGAAAGTCAATGTCAATTTGAACGGATTTTTAAAGATAAAAAAACCCACTATATCTTTCTAATATCCCGTGGTGTGTATGAATATTGATACTGTAAGTTTTTATTTTGTCGAGGAATGCTACTTTGTTGCAGGATAACTTAGTGCTTTCAATCATAGTTGGAAGAACGGATGTCATTTTTCTCCAAAGAACCAACCCGGACATACAGACTTCTGACTGTTTCATTCTCAGCTCCAGTAGTAATCAATAAATGTGTCATGAAACGGTAGAATCAGGCGCTCGTCAATTTTTGTGCTTGTTGAGTTATTGGTATAATCAGAAAACTGATTTATTTGCCTTGCTTTCAAAGAAATATACTATACATTTATCTTGAATAGAACAGTATCATTGAAGGAAGTGAGGTTGCTTGGTTTCATTGGTAAAATTAGCGAGAAAATGAACGTCAAAGTTTGGTAGCTTCAGTAGCTAAAGAGTCTTTGAAAACAGAAAATTGACAGAATGTGTGCCTTTAATTAATGTTTTTCAGTAAAATTCACATGGACATGTGTTTTTTATGTGGACGTAAAAGAGCTTGAGCCCAAAAATAAAAATTCGATAAAAATGTCCTATCTCTCGAGAGAATGCATGTTTCTCCCATTTCTGTACTTTGACGAAGCGGCTGATTTCACCACGATGCATCACCAATCATAGGTTTTTGCTGTCTCCAGCGCGGCTGTCGCTTCTTGGTTGTAATTACACAATGGTTAGAGGGCGTCACTGGAAAGCCCTACTTCTTTTCTCTCTCTATGTTGTATCTGTCTGTCTGTCTGTCTGTCTGTCTGACTTGCTTTTTTCTTGCAGCAACGGACGTGTTTACATCACTGAGCTTGCTATTCTGTAAAAAAAAAAAAAGAAAAAATAGAAAAGAAAGATATTATTGCCGTTTTTGTTTATTTGCTGAGCCCTTGTTGAGTTGTTTTTTATTCCGAGTTACCCTTGCTCTGCTGCGCGCTGACAAAACGCATTTTTAAACGCCTTTTTCTTACTTACACTTACAGCAGTTTCGACATAAAAATGCGTTTGTCAGCGTAACCATTGAAAAAAGGCAGTCATCCGAAATTCTAATTTTAATTTATTCAAAAACTATTCAGTTTCACTTACAGAATTTTTCCACACAAGTAGGGCAACTGATCAGGCTGTAAATTTAGTTGGTTTTTTTTTTAAATTGGCGTCTTAAATAAAAAACAAAAAGGTGTTTTGTCAGCTTAGGGCAGTGATGTGTTTTGTCGGCGCCCACATGTCGTGAGATGTGATTGTTGGCCTTCCACATGTGGCTGGACTGACGGCGCCACTGAAAAACCCTATTTTGTGAGGCATTGTGGTGAAATCAGGCGCTTGTCAAAATAGTGAAACACGAGAAACCAGAATTTTTCGGGAAGTTTGAACATTTTTTTTCTCGAATTTTTGTTTTTTGGTAAAACACCATGAATGTTCATTCAGAAACACTTTTACATGTGGATTTTCGGGGAAAAGAGGCTGATTAAAGGCACGAAAAATGAAAATTTGCAGTTTCCAAGGACTCTTAAGCTTTGGAAGCCACCTTTCTTTGGCGGCCATTTTCTTGCCAATTTTACTTCTGAAACCAGGCGACCCCACATCCGTCAATCGCAAATATCTCGATTTCTATTCAAGATAAAAGGAATTTTAAAAAATTGAAATCAAGGCAAATGAATTACCTTTAAGATGGTACCAATAAATCAATATGCACCCAAAACATTGACGAGCACCTGATTTGACTGCGTCGTGACACCCATTTTGTTCCTTTCCCACTGTTACTGCTGTCTTTTGTTTTGCTTTTTCTCCTCGCTCTGAACAACCCGCCATTGTGTCGCTCTGTCTAGCTCCGTGTAATCAACTCAAAAAAACTGTTGATGTTCAAACTCGTATTTTCCCACCATAACTTACGTGATTGCTGATGTTGTTGATTGATTTTATTGTTGTTGTTGTTGTTGTTGTTGTTGTTGTTGTTGTTGTTGTTAATGTTGTTAATAATGATAATGATAATAATAATAATAATAATAATAATAATAATAATAATAATAATAATAATAATAATAGTGTAGATCATTTCTATAGCGCCCACTCCCGTGTGAAGACAGCTCTAGGTGTTGTTATTGTTGTTGTTGTTGTTGATTGATTTTGTTGCTGTTGCTGTTGTTGTTGTTGTGGTTTTAATGTTGTTAATAATAATAATAATAATAATAATAATAATAATAATAATAATAATAATAATAATAATACAATACAAATATTAATAATAATAATAATAATAATAATAATAATAATAATAATAATAATAATAATAATAATAATAGTGTAGATCATTTCTATAGCGCCCACTCCCCGTGTGAACACAGCTATAGGTGTTGTTATTGTTGTTGTTGTTGTTGTTGTTGTTGTTGACTGATTTTGTTTTTGTTGTTGTTTTTGTTGTTGCTGCTGCTGTTGTTGTTGGTGGTGTGCACTGTGATAAACTCTAGTTCTTTAGTTTTAGTAAGGTTTTACGGGGCTCGCAACTGCATGATAAGGTCATATGAGCGCCAAGGGGTGGATGTCAACAGAGAAGTCTAAACGGGGAATCAGGCTTACTCTGCTCACCTCTCTAGCCTCAACAGCACAAAGTCTGCTCCGACTATCAGGGCACCCCTGGAATTGCAGTTCACAGGAGAGTGACAAACATACAAAAGAATTAGGGGGGAAAAGACGATAGTCAGGACGAGGAAAGAAAAATACAGCAGTTCCCTCTATGTAGTTTCGGCACAACATAAGCATGGCATTGATAGATCAGCCCATTTATAATTCCATGGTGCATAAGAACATTATTAATATCCCCCCTTTTTGGAATGGCCTGAAGACACTCCAGTCAGTAGCACTGGTTGAGGGGGAGGGATTGTGTGATCAACTCTATTGAGTCATGGTTCAGCAACAATTCTGGAAGGGGCAATATATTTCCTCAAGGATCTCAGTGCAAGCAATCTGGGTAGAGAATGGCCAAACTGATCCTGAGACGCTTTCATGGTGGCGTTCATACAGAGAACCAAGTTGTTTGCTCTCTCTACTGTACCGGGAACACAGAGACAAGCCGATTGGTTTGCACCCTCACAACTCACACCGACATGTACACAGTCACAGACTGCCCTACTGATGGCGTCACGGGTTTTCCTAGTTCTTCACTGGAGTAGGGCTGGGCAATGAGTCGCTTTAGCAATATCCGGATAATAATATGTTAGTGCCCCTCTTCGGCAATTAAGTGTAATGAACCGCTTCGGCAAATGGGTTAGTTTACAAGTCTGAATTCGGATGATGTTTCATAGAGCATTATCCGGCTATACGAATAGGTTATCCGGATTTTTCCCAGTTCTGTACTGGAGACGAGAAGTCACAGCTGTGGGCTGTTCTGTTTGAGACACAGAGACAAAGATCGTACATAACAAGATACTCCACCAAAAAGTGATCAGCGGAAGTCCGCGCATTGGTTTAGATGGCGCTGCAGTGTTTCAAAGCTCTCTTTCGTTTCTCCAGAAGAAGAATAGGAATAGCACAATTTGTTAGTTTCGCATTTATTGTCTTTCACACAAGTAATGTAACTCTGTTTGCAAAGTCCGCCCTTTTTCAAAGAGGGCGCCTCCGGATTTTGAGGATCTTTTTTTTAAATTGGCTCAAAGAAAGGATTGAACTATCTTGTTATACACGATCTTTGACAGAGACATTAATAATATTATGTAGATATTCCCTGATTCCTCACTAATGACTAACCACCCTATTGATTGTCTTCATATTATATTATTGTGTTGTATTATTAATTT